AAAAAAAAAAAAAAAAAAAAAAAAAAAAGTAACCCTAAACTAGGAGATAAGATTTTTACTCATAGTTTTACTAAAATTCCACACAGCATAAGCTATGTACCAGGTTTTCACTGAATTCAATAATTATCTATGAGCAAGCCTCTATTGTACTAATGTTGATACTTTCCGAGCTGTCATCTCTTGTCATTCTCTTCTGGATATTAAGAAGGCCGTTCTCAAAACTAAAACTTTAAAGTTGAACTTTAGAATGGAAAAATATTTGCGTACAACCTTCACAGTTTTCTCATTTACCAGCAGCCTCCAAAGTGCAGGTTTAATTATCACTTAAAATGTGGCCTAAATGTTCACCACAGGAAGAGAGGCTCCATAAGTGCTCCTTTCTGAGTGACAATCTTATTGTACTCCTGAACAGAATAGGCGGACTGGACAGAAACTTTCATTTCTATAGCACCCGGAGGCATACATGTTGCAGTCGTCAAGCCCAGCATCATTCCTACTCCAAGGAAAAACCTGAGAGAGGTTAGCATACAGAAGAGATGGGAAGCAGTAACCATTTTACTCCTTCGGGCTGGAGTTCATTTCAATAGTAACTTACGATTTTGGATACACAGAAAAAGCAGGGCACGGCAGAAGGCTAAAAAACGAGGATGTTTGGGGTCCCAACGAAGAGGATGTTCTATAGCTGTTTGAGAACTCAGCTTTGCAAACTACTTCCTTGGGAAAGAGAGAGGCTCCTTAAATTGCTGGAACTGTACCAAAATGTCAATCACAGCAGCCCCTGGGACTAATTCGGTCAGGCAGGCCTGCATGCATGGCAGCCAGCACGGACAGACACAGTATATCACGGCCAGGGCAAGTCTTACAGCGGCTTTTATTTTGCTATATTCTCGAGTTAAACACATTCACTTAAAATAGGAAGAAAAACCTATCCAGATTATTACTGATTAGTTCACTTTTGAAATACCAGTGGGACGGGGGAGGGAGAAGTATCATTTACATATAATAAAATTCACAGGTTTCAGCGTGCAGTTCTGAGTTTTAACAAACGCGTATCACTACCATCACGATAAGCTACAGGCAGATCCACTGCTAAAAAGTTAACTCTTCGGAGGTTCTTACAAGCAAAATTAACCTGTCAACATACTTCAAAAGTATTTTTGCTTCTGAAACATCACCGCCTGCACTTAGAAAAGCACAAAAATACCCATCAAGTGATCCTAAACGTGTCAGCACACGGCGGGGGGGAGGCCTCCGCGGCAAGTGGCGCCCAACACGACACGGATCGCCTCCTTCTTCCCGAGTGGAAACGGGAGGGGCAGAGCCGCGTCGCCCGGCTGGAGCCACGAGGAGGTCGGATTTAATGCCGGAATGACAAACTCCAAAGCACTGAATTCTTCTCCCTAGTAGGGCACGAAACGTGCGGAAGATGGCCAGGGCGCGTGGGAAGAAAGATGACCTATTTTCAACGACTGTTTTTATAACTGGGAAATGAGGGAGAGAAGCGGGGGGTAGTCCCCGGGCACCCGGCGGGCACCTGAGGTCTGGAGAGAGAGGAACATAAAAGCCACCCAGCCTTCGCCCGAGCAACGGGGTGACGACGGGAAGGAAGGA